AATATTCTAAAAGAGTCCAGTAGCCCATAATAGCATTGGGTCTTCTGTTTAACTGGCAATGTCAGAAATTATTGACCTGAGTCCCCCACAGCTATGAGATGTTCATATAAGTGAGATCTCAGTATTTGTCTGACTTTGCTTAATATTTTTAAGGCTCACCCATGTTTTCTCACGTATTAGAAAATCCTTCCTTTTTACAGCTGAGTAACACTTGATCATGTCCATAGATCATGTTGTTTATCTTTTCCTCTGTTGATGGACTACATTTCAGTTGCTTCCCTTGGGCACTTGTAAGCAACACTGCAATGAACACTGACATGATTATCTGAGTTCTTTACTTTGTTTAGGTGTATATCTGGGAGTGGAATTGCTGGTTTTTTTTTTTTTTTAATGTCCTTGGTACAGGGTCTCACTGGACAGCTCAAACTCATAGTGATTCTTCTGTTTTCAGCCTCCCCAGAGCTGGGATTATAGGCATGTGCTACCACACCCGGATTCTGTTGCCAGCAGGGCAGTATGTGGTGCCAGGGATCGAAGTCTGGTCCCTGTGCTTGCCTAAGCAGGCACTTAGGCTGCTGAAGTATCTCATCAGCCCTTGTAATTGCTGGTTTATAGATGATTTTGTCTTTCACTTTAGGTTGCCAGGGAACTGGCAACCTGTTTCCTATAGCAATGGTACAAGCCCTCTAGCGTTATAGGCTTTAATTTTTCCACATCCTCGGCAATATGTTATTTCCTGTATTATTTGTATTAGAATCCTAGTAGGTATGAACTAGTATCGCGCTGTGGTTTTGATTTGCATTTTCCTAATGGCTAACAATGTTGTGCTTGTTGGCCATTTGTACATCTTCTTTGAAGAAATGTCTGCGTCTTTTGTACATGTTGAGAAATCAGGTTATCATTTTGTTGTTGAGTTCTTTATATATTCTGGAAAGTAAGCCCTTATTCATATATGATTTGCAAATATTTTCTCCCATTTTGTAATTTTTTCCCATTTTCCCAACAATGCCCTTTGATACATGGAAGCTTTTAATTTTGATGAAGTGCAGTTCACCTATGTTTTTCTTTTTCTGCTCACACTTGTGAGGCCATATCTTAGAATCCACCACCAAATCCAAGTCATGAAAGTTAATGCTCAACTCTTTTTTCTGACAGGTTTATGGCTTCACTGCTTATATTTAGGTCACTGATCCACTGTCAGTCAATTTTTGTACACAGACAGGTGGGGCCCTGCTTTATTTCTTTGCATGTGGCTATCCGGCTGTCTCACCTAGGACTCCTGGAGTTAGTTAAGTGTGCTCTCCAGATCCAGCCCTGCCCTGCTTTATGTGCAGGAAGCTGACCTCTTGGCCCTGTGTCCAAGGCCACCTTTGTCCCTGACTTTGGTTGGGTGCAGCCAGTGGGAGGCATAGTGAGGGGGTCAGAAAGCAAGATGATAAGCTGGAGTCCCGAATCCCTGAGTCACTCTTGGTGTTGCTGTGGGCTAGCTATGTCCCTGAACTGAAGGTCATGAACAGGCTCTGGGCATGTTCCCATGTTGCACAGGGTCCTGTCTCTCTGGGCTTCAAGTATCAGTCCTTCCTGTTTGTACTCCAGATATAGGCTGGGGATAAAGCTCTTCACCCGCTATTAAATCACCCCTTATCATTCACTCTTAGCTCATGAATGTCCCTGTGGGGGTCCTTTTTTTTTTTTGTTTGTTTGATACAGGGGATTGAGCCCAAGTCTTTTGCACTGAACTACATTGCTAATCCTTTATATTTTATTTTGTTTTTAAATTTGGCATATCGCCTGGGGTTGCAGAGGGGCACCACCACCTCAGCCAGCTGTGATGGGCCATTTTATGCATCTCCACAGTCGGACTAAGGGATGCCCATGGAGCTGGAATGCACTGAATCCGGGTGTGTCTGTGAGGATGTTTCCAGAACAAGTGAACATGTGGATCTTCTGCACAGTAGAGAAGCTTCACCCTCACTGGGATGGTGGGCATCACCCAGCTCGGCAATGCTGAGGAAGACAAAATGGCAGAAAGAGGCAAATTCTCTCACTCTGCTTGGGTTGAGAAGTCCATCTTCTACCCTCAGATGTGGAGCTCTGGGCTCTCAGGCCTCAGACACTCGCCGAGTCCCATGCTGGTGTTCTGACTCTACAGCTGTGCATGGCAGTCTGGGGGTCTTTTCAGCATCCATGGCCTTGTCAGACGATGCTAGGACACCTCCTCATAGCTGCCTCTGTTGGTCCTCCGGCTTGCTTCCCTGGAGCACCCTGATTAACAGGCTCCACTAAACTCTCCAGAGGGATGGGTTGAAGCGCCATCTGTTGGTGGTGAGGAGGACCCTGACAGAGGCAGGAGGGCTCGCAGCTGCCTCACACATCAGCTTTTGTCAGTCACTGCTGCCGCCAGGCTCATCCCAGGAGGGAGAGTGTCTCTTGTGCCCCTGGATAGGGTGTGGCAGGTGCACTGGGGCAGAAGGGCCAGCCTGGGCCAAGAATTCTGGGCCCTTCCCAGTATGACCTGGAGCCAGTTCTCTCTTTGGGCTCTATTTGGCTCACCTGTGACCATGGGGCTCAGTAGCTCTGCCCATGGTTGCATTCAGGATGCCCCTGTAGGTGTCCCCTCCCCATGCCAGCGAGCCACACCCTCTCAGCACCTTTTCTCCAAATGCCCATCCTCTGTGGTGAGCTTGTGGGGTAAGTTTCTTCAAGATAGGCTAAGGGTTTGCTGCTGGATAAAATATCCCTGGGCTCCCAGCTTCTCTCCTTGGGCACTGGCCTCATTCAGGATCAGATCTGCCCGTGTGTATGCAGTTCTGCTACCGGGTGTGGTGCCCAGTACCTACAATCCCAGCTGCTTGGGCAGCTGAGGCTGGAGGATCACAAACTTGGGTCCAGCTTGGGTAATTTAGTGAGACTCTGCCTCAAAATACAAAAGGGCTGGGATATAGCTTAGTGGTAGGCTGTATGAGGCCCTGGGTCTGCACCTTAGCGCGGCGCGCACATTCACACAGTCATCCGCATTCATAGTCACACATAAAGAATAAACTTTGAAGTTACAGGAATAGAAAGCAGATTTCGGAGTTCTGGATTAACTGAAAAATTTCAGTTTCTGTTGCCCTGGTTTCTGACTTAGTGCCATAAAAATTGATACAGACTGGAGGGATACAGAAGCAGTTAGAGTAGTCAGCTCTGCATGGAGAGTGGCAGGCTTGAAGGAAGGATGGAGTTAGGGGGTGAGGAGAGCATGAAAGGCGCCTCATAGTGTGAGTGCGTGCACACACGTGTGTGAGTCCGTGTCCGTGTGTGTGTGTGTGTGTGTGTGTGTGTGTGTGTGTGGAGAGAGAGAGAGAGAGAGACAAGGCAGGCGAAATCGAAGTGAGCAGGGGTCAGGAGCTGAGACAGTGAGTGGTGTAAGGGAGGGGAGCGAGGAGCCCCCAGGAACTTCTGAGTACCAGAGGACAAACAAGCTAAGAATCAGGGAGTCTTCAGCCACAGTGGCCAAAGCACAGCTTTAACTTCCCTGGGGGAGGTTGGTAGTGTGTGTGCGCCTCTGTGGCTGACGGAAGCCTCAGAAGGAGGCCAGGAGAGGTTTCAGCACCCCAGTCTGTGGGCAAATGGACCCCTTGTGGTGGAACAAGGAAAGGGCAGGACAGACATGAGGGAGGCCCCAGGTGGTGAGGAGGCCCCTGAAGGGGTTGGCCCAGGAAGGGCACCTGGCGTGCATCTGCAGGCGAAGGTGGGAGAAGGAAGGCAGAAGACTCCAAATGACACTGCTCCCTGGGAGCCCGGGAGAAGGACCTGCGCAGCGAGAATGAACAGAGTCACTCTCCATACTTGGGAAACAGTACTGCTGCGTGGGGTCCCTCCGGAAGGCTCCCTGGGTGCTGCTGTTGCAGAGAGGCAGACATGCAACACCTCCTGCTGTAGGGAAGATAGATAGGTAGATGGATAGATGGGGAGAGAGAGAGAGAGAGAGAGAGAGAGAGAGAGAGAGAGAGAGAGAGAGAGTTCCAGCACCCATTGCCCTGGTTGGTCCACTGTTCTCATCGGATTGGTTGGGGTGATAATTCATGAGTCCCACATCCATCTGTGTGGTCCCATCTGCCACAGGCTTTGAGATGCTTGGTTCTAGACAGTGTCAGAGTGGGGTGGGCACAAACTTATGAAAACACTCTGAGTAGGCCTGACTGCTGCTTGAGTGAGTCCAGCCTCAAGAGGGGACTTTGCCAGCCAGCTGGGTGCAGGCTCCTCGACCAGCCTATGACTCTGCCATGGACTTTAAGAGATCATTTCTTACCTTTTCACTAGCTGTGACAGTGTCTTCAAGATCTGAAACTCTATCTTTGCTTTCACTCAAACGGTTTTGCAAGCTTGTGATTGAGATTTTAAGTTCCTCTATATCTCTCTGACGCTGTTTCGTGCGACCTATTTCTTTCCTGTATTGCTCATTCAAGGAACCCATTGTTTTTCTAATCTTCTCTATTTTTTTATCAGTGTCTTCTTGAGAAGCAGTTATTAATTCTTTTACTACAGAGATTATTTCTGATCTGATTTCCTCTATATGTTTCTGTATTTGACTTTTACTTCAGATGCTATTAATTCAGAGATTTCTTTTTTTTTATTTTAGAAGTTATTTCTGATCTAAGTCCCTCCATACCTCTCTGTAGTTGTTTCTTTACTTCAGATGCTATTGATTTAGACATTTCAGCTGTGTGATTCCCAATATCTTCTTTGCTAGTGTCCTCTGCACTTGTTCTGGGTTGGCTCAGGGCCTGAGATTGCATTTTGCTCCTTGTCTTTGTCATTTCGTATAGCACTGTCCTGTGACCTTTGATGTAGAGCTTTGGTGCAGTTATAACCTTAGTACCTCCTGGTATTTGGGTGCAGATCTCCTAAGTTTGTGTCCATCCAGTTGTGCCTGGCTTGGGTCTGGCTGCTGGGCTCAGCTTCTTTCTGCTGCAACCCTTGGGAGTGAACCTGTTATGCCCCTCTGGCAAGATGTTCTGCTCTTGGATTAGTTGGGGGGTTTTGTCCCCTAGACTCTCTGCAGGGACTTCATCTGCAGTTTCACCCCAGTCCTGTATGCCAGGCCTGGTTTGAGTCTGGAGGGGGCCAGGGGATGCAGGGGAACGTGGAAGCTGTCCCACACACTCGCCAGGCCTGGGCTTGGGCTCAGTCTTGGGGGGGGGATCCTGAGGGGGTGGCAGAATCTCTCACTCACTTGTCTGCCATGGACTTTAAAAAATGTTTTTCTCCTTCCCCCAGTCACTGAGAAAGTTTGAAACACACCCAACTCAACCTTTTATCCACTTTTATGAAATCACTAAGATATAGATCGATCGATCGATCTATCTACATACATACACGGAGAGTAGACACTTCACAAACATATTTTCAGTCCTATGTCCACTTCAGCATCAGTCAAACTAGCCAAGATGTGGAAACACTACATTGATGGATAGCTGGATAAAGCAATTGTGGTACCCATGTATCCATCCATCCATCTATCCCAACTACAATGGAATAACAGTCAGCCCTAAAAATAAGAAAATCCCACCATTTGTTGCACCTAGACAATATTTTGCTGAACTAAAAAAGCAGATAGAAGCCAGGTGTGGTGGTGTCTGCCTGTCATTCAAGCTACTTGGGAAAGTAAGGTGGGAGAATCATAAGTTCCAGGCCAGCCCGGCAGGTTAGAGAAATCCTTCTTGAAGTAAAAAATAAAAATGGAATGTAGCACTTCTGGGTTAAATCTTCACTAGTGGAAAAAAAAACGAAAGAAAAACAGATAAAAATTAAAAATATATTTCCTGGTCACACACGTACAATATAAGAGCTCAGAGCACAAGAAGGAGAAGGAAAGAGTAGTCACCCCAGAAAGAGGAACTGGGGAGTAGTACGTGAGGAGTACAAGATAGCAGGCATGTAGGATTTCCAAGTCTGGAGAACTCGTGCTCAACAGGAGGACAAATGTTAGTAAAATACCTTTGCACTAGAGACAGGGCGAGTAAGGAGATTTTAGTTGCTCTGTCAGACACACAGAGTAACTGTAAAGTGAAAGATATGTTAAAGCTTGCCTCAGTGGCCATCTTAGATTCTATACATATCCCATAACATCATGTTGTAAATTTTAAATATATATACACGCACGTATGAAAAACATCTGCTCTTTACCTGTTTGTTGTAGATACTGCAAGACCCTAAGGCTGGAGAGGACTCGGCCACTAGGTGGCGCCGTAGCAGCCTTGGTGTACGCCTAGGCCCTTGTGAAGTGGGTGGAGAGAGGTCTGTATTTGTACCAAAAGACGTCTGACTAACTATGTATGCTGATACCTGTGAACTAAGCAACTGCACTGAAGATAGATTTGTACTAATAGTGTTTGGACAGGATATCATGTCTGCATCTTGTACTATGAATAACTACTATGAAGACAACAGTATGCAATGCATCAACTCTTGTAACTGTCCTACTAAACTGTTTTGAAATTGTCTCATTGCTATTTGTTTCTCAATAAAATTAATAAAAATTAAAAAAAACCATACAAATGACGTGCACCGCACTGCCTTTCCCTTCTAGTGAGTTTGACAGGAACTTCCACACCTAAGCCAGTGGACGGTATGTAGTGGCTCAGCATCAGCAGGTGTGGATCAACCACCCCATTTGAGTTTTTGGAAAGGATTTGTCTGTCGCATTCCTTGCGGCTGCATCAAAATTCCGCAACTTAAAAGGCAGAAGGGACTTATTGGCTCGCAGCTTAGAGAAGCATGGTTTCACGCTCAGGGCATGGTAGAAGGACTTGGGCGGAGGAAGTCAGGGTTGAGGGGCAGAGCCAGGGAGGGAGACACCCTTCCAGGGAAAGACCCCAGGGACTGCCTCTTCCGGCAAACCAGCTCCTCATAGCGAGCCCGCAGCAGCCCCATAATCCAGTCAGCTTCTGAGAGCCGCCTCTGAGAGCAAGCTCTTGTGGGGGCAGCCAGATACAAACAATGAAGGGCTTACCAATGTCGTTCAGGCAGCTGCCCTGAAGAGGACAGGTGCTCACTCTTCCCTTGACCTAACCCAGTGCTTTATTGCCACCTGTGCTATAATGTGGATCAGATACTGTCTCTGGGCTTTGGGGGCAAGTAGGATATCTGACTCAGGAGGAAATGGCTGATGGCCCTTGGGCCACGGGTGGGGGTATTCAGTAAGGTTGGGATTCCTCTCCCGTGCACTTAGGAAGGAAGGGCCATTTGTGACTTTACCACAGGAGATCTGTGCACCTGCCCCACGCATCCCTCAGAGCCCCCCTTCTTTAGGACACTGGGAAGTACGCTGCTGAAGGCAGTACTTTAGTCTTCGTAAAGCTTTGCGATGCTGTCTGCTGCAAGGCCGGTATGGGTAGGCCGATCTTACCACTGAACTGGGCTCTGTGATCTCAGCAAATTCCCGTATAACAGAGACCCAATGTTGTAATTTCACCTCCGAAAAGGGGATTGCATTGACCATAAAAACAAACAAACAAACATACAAACAAAAAAGGAACACAGTGGTAATCAAAATGTTCTGAAATCTAAGGACCTTCA